ATCAGTTCCTCGAGCTTCCAGAGTCCCCGGTGAGACGCCACTCGAGCTCGGAGGAGGAGAGACGGGTGGCCACTCTCGAGAGGGACGACCGAGGACGACCACACGACAAGGAGAAGAAGGGGCATCGCTCAGCATGGGGAAAGGTGAGCCAAGGTCGTCCTCGAAGGAAAGAGAAGGGCGTGGTCGGCCTTGGAGGAGACGTAGAGAGACAGGAGTAGGTAGGCAGGGTCGAAGGACGACCTCGAGTGAAGGGAGGAGGGGGCCAGGCTACTCATACTTGGGACCAAATACGAAGGTGTCATCCTGGACGAGATAGCCCTTGAATGGAGGGGGAAGGAGGACTGATTAACGAGCCCCCCCCCCCCTTACTCCCACCTCAGCAAATGTGATGACCTCCTGGTAAAAAAAAAAAAGAAAAAAAAAATGGAAGATACATTTTTTTTTCAACGAATATCGAGCCATTTTTTTCTCCATCCGAATATCCCCTTGCTTCATCTAAAAAAAAAAAGAAAAAAAGAAAAAAAAAACATACAAAAAACATTATTCCATATTTTCAAAAAAAAAAAGAAAGAAAAAAACATTTATACCAAATAAATAAAAACAACAATTTGTTTTCTCTTTCATTAAGTGAAATAGAATTAACAGTGTGATGGAAGCAGCAGGTCATTTAGCCCCTTGCCCCCTCCCTTTCCTTATTAACTAAATTAATGATATTGATCTCATTTTAATCACAGGTAAATAAACATGACAACGAGACTGCTTGCTTGATTGTATTGACTTTCCTCTCAAGGACTTGTTTTTTCCTTTTCACAATCTGCATTTTTTTTTTTTTTTTTTGGGGGGGGTGTATGTGTGTGTATGTATGTATGTACTTTTTTCTTTTTTTGGTGTGTATGTATGTGTGTATGTATGTATTTCTTTTTTTTTCTTCTTCTTCTTTCTTCTTCTTTCTTCTTCTTTTCTTCTTTTTTCTTCTTCTTCTTTTCTTCTTTTTCTTTTTTTTTTCTTCTTCTCCTCCTCCCCCCCCCTCCTCCTCCTCCTCCCCCTCCTCCTCCTCCTCCTCCCCCTCCTCCTCCTCCTCCTCCTCCCTCCTCCTCCTCCTCCTCCTCCCCCTCCTCCTCCCCTCCTCCTCCTCCTCCCCCCCCTCCTCCTCCTCCCCCCTCCTCCTCCTCCTCCTCCCCCTCCTCCTCCTCCTCCTCCTCCTCCTCCTCCTCCTCCTCCTCCTCCTCCCCCTCCTCCCCCTCCTCCCCCTCCTCCTCCTCCTCCTCCTCCTCCTCTTCCTCCTCCTCCCCCTCCTCTTCCTCCTCCTCCTCTTCCTCCCCTTTACCCTCCTCCTCCCTCTCTACCCTCCTCCTCTTCCTTCTCCTTTATTCGTCTTCCTCCTTTCCTTTGTGTGAATGTTCTTAGGTATGAACGCATGTCCATGAGAGAAAACGTATCCTTGTGTTCCTGAGAAGGAGTTCAAATGTTCATATATAATTTTAATATATATATTTTTTGCAATATTTACTAACACACGCATACACTAATACGTCTCCGTGTTCATGTTTGTGCCCTTGTATGTAAGTATCTACTTACAAGAGAATAGGCGTTTAGATAGACATACGGTTGGGGATAAACAGACAGAAATAGTAGTTAATTTCAGAAGAGAATTGTAATGGTGTTTGTATCAGAAGGGATGCTGAATTAGCTATTGTTTGCTTTAATGTATAAATACAGTAAGAAAAACAACATTGGAATTAGGCTTTAGATGGAATACTAACATGAGTATGAATATATATATATATATATATATATATATATATATATATATATATATATATATATATATATATATGTATATGTATATGTATATGTATATGTATGTATACACACACACACACACACACACACACACACACACACACACACACACACACACACACACACACACACACACACACACACACACTCACAGTGTTAGAGAAATACCAGACACAGATTTCAACACATATCAAAAGTATTACAGATCTAGACCTAATTACGGTCCCAATCTCCGTGTCTCGCACCTCATAACACCACCCTCAACGCCCTCACCGCCCTCACGCCCTCAACGCCCTCACGCCCTCAACGCCCTCACGCCCTCCAACACGCACTCACAATATCTAACACTCTCTGCCCTCCGCTGGGTTTTAGAATACGAGTGGTGTCTCCACCCCTCAGGTCAAGAATATAATACCTGCGCCCTCTCAGGTCAAGAGCATGATAAGCACACGTCGAGACAGCGTCAGGAAGAAGTCCTCCTCGGCTGGACATCGGAAGTCTACCACGGAACGGCCGGACGTCTCTGCGGGCGTCGCCGTCGAAGTCTCTGCCGCGTCCGATCCAGAGGTTTGTTGGTGGTTTTGTTTCGGTCGGGGGGGGGGGCTGGTGTTTATTTTTGTTTTGTTTTGTTTTGTTTCTACTGTTGTTGGTCTGTTTATATATATTATTTTGGCATTATACTGTAGTTTGGATTAAG